TTTCGGGCGAAATTTTAACCCTAATCTACTCTAGCTTAGACTAACATTTCCTGAAAAATTTGTTGAATTTCATGAAAAAATAAAAAAGTTTGTCGATAATGGGGGGGGGCATAATAGTTTCATTTATTTGATCTTGTCCATAATCATTTATAAGTGTTATTTCGTATAAATCAGAATCATTGTAATATTTATTATCGATTGACATTTGCGTATGTTCATGCTCTAATTAATTTATAATTAATTTTATTCCATTTTATAGTGTATTCTGCTCATTCATCATATAAAAGAGTGTGATTGTAGTTGAAGAGAATATCGACGGACTCACTACTATACACAGTCACATCCTTAGCAAAATTGATGAGATTTTACAAGCAGAAAAACACCAAGTGAATCTTGAATGACTAGTCTTTTTTATTGTAGTTAATAGAAGAAATTAAAAACAGTATACTTGTTCATGTGAAGTGCAAGTTTGAAAACTGTATAATGACTATGAAAAAATCTTCCAGACGACACCAAAAATCACATCCGTGCAGAAAATATTCTCAGCATTGGTTTAGATATAGTAAAAAAAAATGTCTTACTGTAAGTAACTACTTTTGAATGATCAAAAAATGAATGAGGACTTCGTGGCATGACTTTCAGATCATAAGTCAACAAAAAGTCTCATTTAAAGCCACAATGAAATGAGAAAAAAAACCAAAAAGAATATTTTTAAAATGTATTTTATTTTATTACTAATACCACAATGAAATCGATAATAAAAGACTATTCTAATTTGTCTATTCATCTAGATACAGTAGAATATGTGGAATCAATACTGCCATCACGATATGTCGGGTATTGTCGTAGCCTTCTTTTTTTTATGAATCGATAAATAAAAATAAGTCCTGTACAGCACATACATATCATTAATAAAGTAATAAAACCTCCAGCAATTAAGATCATCCAGTCTTGTATTCCCAAACCTATATAAATTGATATTAATATTAACATAAATATGATGAATTTTTCTACCCGTTGTTGTAAATTCGTCTACAATTGACTGCATCGAAGTTTGTTCATCAGCTATGTACATAAAACATAATTATTACTTCCCCAATTTATATATATATATTAATCCTAATTTAGCTTATGATTTTTGAAATAAAAAAAACTCACCATTTAATTGCAATTCTTCGGGTAACTCAAAATCAACTGTAAACAAAAAAGACCTATTCGAAATTCATTTAATTAAGTCTATACTTACATTGATTTACATATAACTGTAATTGTACAGTTTGATGTGCTGCAAGCATAGCTTCCATAGCTGCTTTGTGTGCTTTTTCTTTTTCTTTTTTAATATCAATAATACACCATATAATGATAATGCATTTCAAAAAATTCAATCTTTCCATAGTACTTTCAATTAATTCTTTTTCAGTTATTGCTTTCTCTAAATAAACAAACGATATTTATATTGAAAAAATCTCTTGTGTTAACTTTGACATATAAATGGATGTTTTTCTCTACATGATACTCTTTTTAGGCATAAAGATTGATCATTTGAACGTATTGTTAATATAATACAATTTAATTGAAGATCTTCAATTGTTGTACTTGTACTATCACATAAATCATCTTTTGACCATTCTATATATATATATATATATATATATATAAATATATGTCGTAGGTCAATCTCGGATTTTAGTATGGTCTAATCTTAGCTTCGAGTTGACTTCGAATTGTCAGTTCGATCCAAGATGGAGGTGTTACATCCTACTTTATCTAGACAATAGACACTATTGATAGCATCTCAAACTTGAAAATTTTAATGCAGTAATCATTGTGATCTCATGTAAATCAGCCAATTCTACATGAACATGTTCATAAGATACAGTAAACGAACTCACTAAAATACTCGTTGTCTATCATTGATTGATAATACTTCTATTCGAGTATCGACCTACATCTGTTTCCCAATATATAACTCTCGTTCGTTACCTTCTCTAACGTTTGTACACTTATAACATAGATCATTCTTATACTATAAATTAGACATATAATTGAACAAATTTATCCTAGTTTGAACTAGACCATTCTGGACTCCAAGATTAACCTTCGACACACATATGTAGAGTGTTCCATAAGCAGCTTTACAAATAAAAAATTTGAATATCTCCACTCTGTTTCACTCTATGATACTGTGATGAAGGAGACTTTACAGTTTTGTTTTCCATAAGAATAACATTTATAAATATTGTTTCGAAGTATCATCATTGGCTTCAATAATCAGTTTCTATTTTCTAAGTGTTCAAGATGGTTCTAGGGTGATAAGAAATATTCAAATTTTTTTAATCATAAAGCTACTTATAAACTATATTATATATATATATATATTGATCAATAACTTTCTATGATTATCTTACTAGCATTTCCAATCCAAACACCTCGTTGAATATAATCTACATAGATTTGATCATCATATTCTAATTGATGAATTTTTTTTTGAATTGATTGAAATTTTATTGAATCCGAAAAAGTTAATAGTTTTGCCGAACTTATTTGACATGCTTTATAACCATTATACCACGAAACATCACCTGCTTGTGATGTTGCAAATATAATGCAAATTGTTTCTTCTGGAAGATAATACCAATTAGATTGACATTGATTATAAGATGATGAATTTTCTTTTATTATGAATTATATTTAAAAGAAAATATAATTGATTTAATTATTTACCTGCTAGTATTAAGTTAACTATACAATGGATAATAAAAACTAATTGTAACACAAATCTAAGATATAAACTTAGCATGTTTAATGAAAGATTAAAAAATACGCGCATTTTCTTTCTTAAAACATAATAATTATGTAAGATGGTTTCGAAACGAATTAAAATTTCCTTTAAATTCGAAGAATTCTTTCCATGCATGAAAAATTGATATAAATGATACAAGCAATGATTTATCTATCTTGATTAGAATGGAAGGGTGTTCTTCTCTTTAGCTACCTCCTTCACTATTGTGAAAAGAGAACAAAATGGATTTATTTACAACTGTATTACTTTATCTAAAAGATTGGCCATGCGCTGCCTATGATATACTACGAAAGTGTTGTAAGCATCATATTCAAAAACATACATTATATCAGTAGTTTATGATATTTATCAGAGATTTATGTACTTTAAGATAAGATATTCATTAGGTACGTAATAAGCTAACTAGTCAAAATATGTTCAGTAAAAGAATACTTGAAGTTGCTGTCTAGATATTGAGCTGGATTTCGAACATAGTATTCTGCAGTATCTATTCAATGAATTTTAAATATCAAATTATACTTTGGACATTTGTGTTATCTTCTTTCTTATTAATATTTTATTCTTCAAAATATGATCTGATTCAATATCTTTTTGAAAGAAAATAACTGATTTTGTTTAAACAATTGCAAATAGAACTTCGCTTTTGCATAGGCAACCCTTTTCTACCGAAAGATTATTTACAACATAAAATTTTCAGAGAGAAATACAGAACGCGAGAAAAAATGAGGAGGAGAAAATCATTCTGCTTCTTTCTTCTAATTGTATGATCTATATTCATAAAAAATTTCTTCGAAAAATTATTATTAAAAATATTATATAACATTTAATTTTTCTTTTAATGTACTTAAGTTAGTAAATGCAATATATCGTTCTTCATGGTCATCAGATTTCTGTTAACTAACAATAACAATAGAAACAAACTCTTATAAGATAGTATGTACAACATTCTTTTTTGTTAAGTACGCTCTGAACAAGAGAAAACATTTTACACTCAATAGTTTTTATTATTGTAAGCCGAAAAAATGCAATAGATTACAATTGATGGATAGTTATTTATTTTTTCGAGTTTTCTTATGGTTAGACTTATTCTAAATAAGAATACTATTAATAGTCGTCATTCTGTTGCATGTCTAGCGATACAAGAACAGTTTTGTCAGTTAACCCTTTACCCCCCAGCGGGTCATATATGACCCATTTGTAGAACGATCAGAGAAAATAAACAAAGGATGTGACTGAAAAGGTTGAG